CAGGAGACAGGAGACTAAAGCTGTTGTCTGTCCAGCTGCACACACACACACACACACACACCTACATTTTTATTACCAACTTTATTTCCTTCCTCCATTTCCTTCCTTTCGTTTCCTCCTTTCCTTACTGCTGGTTTCCTTTCGTCACCATTTCCTTTACAATTCTAATTAAATTTGACAATAAAACCATGTCATTTCTCCTCAATTTTTCCCTTTGTCCTTCCCTCATTTCCGTCCATCTTCTACATCTGTTTTCTTTCTCTCTTCCCTCCTTACACCCACCTGCCCTCAGAACTCACTCACTGGTATTTCATACCACCATTACAGCCATCCACCTGGTATTTGTGAAATATTCAAACGAAGGTCGTTTCAACAGCTGACACCCTAAGTGTTTTTTTGTGTGTGTGTGTGTATGTAGGAATTGTTCAACTAATGGAGTCACTGATGCATCGAAAGCACCAAAGGCAACATAAAGACAAAATGTATGTACTTTTCTTAAGTGCTAATTTTCCCTCTTTGTTTCATTTTCTCCCTCTTCAGGTACAACATTCCTGATCACACCACAGGAGCAGCAGACAGAGGTACGCGTTTGTTCACTTGTTTGTTTGTTTTTTTTTATAACTAAAACACATATCCTACCACTCATTAAACACATATATACAGCTCCTACCACTCATAAAAAAAAAAAAAGATCATTGGCCATATAGCTCTCAGCACGTCTGAAAGCATCTGTGTGTAGAGCGAGGCGACCTCACAGCCGGCTGTCAATCACTGGAACCTCAGTGAGTCAACGCAGTCGATTGAACTGAATTTAAGTGGGAATGTACACAACAAAGACGTTCACGTAGCTGAATCACGTCTAATTGGTTTAGAATTCAATAAAAACATATTTCAATGACTTTAGAGCAGGTATGTCCAACTCAAGGCCCGTGGGCCGCATTTGGTCCACAAGATCATTTTATTTGGCCCACAAGATCATGTGTTTGGTTGTCTTAAAATTAATATCTATTTTCAGTGTTTACTTATTGGGTAAAATGCAGCGGTCGAATCCTGTGCAAGGCGAGGAATTTACGATTCTTCTTTCTTGAATACCAATTCTAACCAAGTTGAAACTAAAAACACAGATCGCCCGTTGTATTTATGATCGCATCGTGGCATCGACAGTTCAATAAATAATAAACCTGTTTGACCCACGGTTTAGACTGTGTTTTGACTGACAAGTCATTGTTATGACAACAACAGAGTCTACAGGATTATTTATAGTTTTATAATTTACCCTTCAAAATAACCAGACTAGAAAAGTAATAACATTCTAGAATTCATTGCCGTGTCACCAAAGTTAAAGGTTTTTAATATAACTAGAGTACACTCTGTTGTTCATTTTCAATATTTTTGTCCAATTATGAGGAATCTTGAATTTTTGCCTTGCACCAATCAAGCGTAGAGAAACTCCTCGCTGCAAACGAAGGGAAACGGCAGTTTGTGTCAAAAGTTGGGACGGGCCAAGATTCATGGTGGTCTCGTCACCTTGACATAGTTAATTTAGAATTACGCGTCCACCCCATTGGCTTTACGATTCCATTACAGGATTTAATTGAAATCAAACATTAAAATGGATGATGGCCCGCAGCAACATCTGGTGGTAATCAAGGAGAAGACGGTTCCCATCAGATTGGCCATTTAGTGTTGAGAAGACGTTGTTATTGTGTTGCAGCTCAGTCTATTGGTTATAGGTCACGAATGGAGCTGGGCAATATGTGACATTTGCTTGGCAAGTCAGAGTTTTTTTTTTTGAGAGCAACAGTGAAATAGCACCACCAAGTGGATTGTGTGGGTACTGAAAACGAAACATATCTATTTCGGTCTAAACATTGTTTGCCAGTGTTTCTTATACCTGTGCTGTCACTGTCTCACAGGTCATGAAGGACCCGCCTACAGAAATGGCCCTGTCCAGTCTGGTCAGTCCGGTCAAGCTTCCACTGAGTCCAGATCCACTGCCCTCGCTGTCTCAGGAGCAGGAGACAGGCTCTCTCATTACTGCTAACAGACAACGGAAACTACTGAAAACAAGCCCCCCCCTCAGCCACACTAACAACACCGTAGCCGCTTCTTCGTCCTCAACAACACCGGGAATTAATGTACCCGAAAGCTGGATAGAGCTGGGCAAAATTCTGAGAGATCGCAAGAATCTGATGGGAGAGATATGTGCCATGTACAAAAGCAACATCTCCAACACCGTCACAAGTGCGCAAGTGTCGCAGATCTTTGTGGTTGATAAATACAAGCTGATGTACTGTGAGGTTCCCAAGGCGGGCTGCTCCAACTGGAAGAGGACGCTGATGGTGCTGGCCGGCAAAGCCAAAAACATCGAGAAGATCAACCACGACACGGCCCACTACGCCAACAACCTGCTGAAGCTGAACTACTACGACCTGCAGGGCATAATGCACCGTCTGAGGACCTACACCAAAGTCCTGTTTGTCAGAGAACCCATGGAGAGGATGGTGTCGGCCTACAGGGACAAGCTCGAAAATCCTAACTCCTACTACCATAACTTGTTTGGGAAACCCATCATCCGCAAGTACAGACAGAACCCATCTGAGCATGCCCTCAAAACAGGGGACGGGGTCACTTTTAATGAATTTGTCCAGTATTTGTTGGACGTCTCCCGCCCGGTGGGAATGGACATCCACTGGAATCCCGTCAACAATCTCTGCCACCCTTGTCTTGTGGACTATGACTTCATTGGCAAGTTCGAAAACATGGAGGACGAGTCCAACTTTCTGCTGCGATTGATCGGAGCGCCAAATGACTTGAGGATGCCTACGTTCAAAGACAGGAACCCGAAGGACGTGAAGACTTCTGCAAGTATTACAGAGACCTACTTCCAACAGGTCAACCTGGAGCAGAGACAGAGAGTCTTTGACTTCTACTTCAGGGACTACCAGATGTTTAACTACTCCAAGCCTTTCAAAGATATAAACTAAACGACTTCTTTGAAGACTTTACGTCACAGTTACATTCCACGACATCTAACATCTTAATCACAAATCTTTGAATGGAGTCCGTCAGTCTTTCTAGCTATTTACTCCTCAAGGTCTGATGGACTTGTGTTTGGTTCATATATGTGTCCAGTGTTGCTGAAAAAACCAGCAGACAGTGAAGCTCCTAGGTTTTTTTTTTTTTTGTGGCTTGGATTTTGTCACGACCTTCTGAGGATGTCGCCTCCAACATCCTCGAAGGTCACGTTGAAAAGACGCTGCACTCGTGGTGGTAATCGTAACGTCTTTTATCATTGCCCACATAAACGTGGGTCTACGTAAATATGGGTGAGTCCAAATACTGTATATTATGATTTGGTTTTTTTTAATGCTGCTTTTGATTAATTTTAACACAATGTTCCTGTTTTAAATCAAAAGTTGAAGTAACAATAGTTTATCGGTGGGGTAGAAGAGTTAATGTTGTGGTTTTTGGCGAGGTCATTCTTGTAATCAGTAGGCTTTAAATATACACAATTCCCTGTCAGCCAGACGACCTTTGCTAATGTGTTTATTAATGGACAAACTCACCACAGGTGCCAAACATACAGTAGGGTTAGGGTTTCATTCCAAGGTGAAGTTGAAGTTGTTCGATTCATGAAGGTTTGTTTTTGGTGTGGATGTTTGACGGGTTTTTTTTTTTTTAATTGTCCGCATTTATGTTTTGACTTGTACAGAGCGTTATGGCGCTGACACAGCACAGACACAGAAGAACATGTAAAGCAGTGACCACGTAAAAGCTTTGTGCATCTACTGTAGCATTTTTGTACATCGGACTATATCTCCGGTCGGGTCGCGCTCCACTCAGACCCACTCTACTACGAGTATTCCTTGGGTTGTCATATGCAGGACTTGCAGGGTACTTTGCATCGTTGCCAATGTATTTTCATAATAACACTTTACTATGTCACTGTACGCTGTTCGTTTTTCCTCTGGACAATTAAAAACCTCTACTTAACGACGTTGGGATACTCGGAGAAGAAGAAGAAGAAGAAGATGAAGAGCGACTTGGCGTCTACCTTCACATTAACTCTGAGATGACACTCTCCTTCTTTGACATCGGTTCTTCTCTACTATACACACACACACACACACACACACGCTTTCCTCCCACTACTGTGTAAAATTGTACAATGGGCATTCAGATGATTGTGTATATATATTTATATAGTTCTATGTATTTCTATTATGCTTCTCTGTGGAGATGATGTCGGTTTCCTTTTTGATGCCACTCTTTGTTGTTTCAGTGACACTACTATCGTGTTTTCTATCTGAAGAGTTGATTTCCAAAAATGAAAAAAAAATGAAAAAAAAAGAAGAAAAGAAAATACCCAGAAACTGACGACAGTGTGGAAAAACAATAAATAAATAAATATTTAAAAATGCAGATTTGAAGCCACACAGATTCATAAATAAATCAGTGAATTTTAATCTTTAAAATCTCCAAACGTTTTATAATAAAAAATGGATATGTGAAATTTTGGAAATGAGCTCTTAAATATTAAATGAGCCCAGTTCTGTTGGGTACTGATGGAGTCACAGAAAACCCTGTACAAAACAGCTGCATTCCACCTGGTTGTTTAAAACATTCAATTATAGCCAAAACCACTCACGTTTGTCTGTGTTTCGGTGTGTTTGTAACGAGGTGAGAAATTAGCAGGAAATAGGAGAAAAACAATTTATCATTTTATATCTGAATTATTCATGACATTCTAATCACCCGTGGTTTTATTCCTCTGTAAAATACAGTTAATCGTTTTTTGCAGTTTGAAGATTATATGGGATAAAAGTTCCATCGAGGTTTTCACACCGAGGTCTGTTAAAGTGTCGATATTTGACCAAAACCAAACATTTGGATTAACTGCTTTTTTTTTGCTTAATTTGCAAATCACAAAATAAAAATTATGAAGTAATGACACAACGGGAACTCTAAAATACATGTACTCGACTTACGACAAGTGATGATAAACCAGATTGTCACTGGTTTATGACATGAGAGGAAATCAAAGTTGTACATGTTGGTAATTATTTGTTTGTTAAAGTGTCAAAATTCCTACCTTTACTTAACGACAACTTCCCAAAAAACAAAAATACCGAATGACCAAATCTGTCACAGACCCTAGAGAAATTTATCTACGGAAATATATATGCATACATATATATGGACACGTGTTGACATATATACTGTATTGACGCATATATACATATATCTATATAGAAAATGATGCACTTTTGAGATACAATCTATTTTTCCACATATCCAAAATCGTATCTTTTTTTTTGTTTTGTTCTTGTTGCACATCAGACCACACTGTGACCAAACACGATGTTTATGTCACGGGCCGCCAACGTTGTTGAATGAAGCATCTGTTCCCGCCCCGTTTGAGGTCAAATCAACGCGCTTTAGCGAGTTTTCAACATGATTCCATCGACACATAGATTCACACCGACAGAATATATATATAAATATATGTGGTACAGTATGTTACACTGGAGGAGAGAAAACTCAAGGTACATTTAATCAAGTCTTTGGTCAAAATCATCACGGATTTTATTGAGTGCAATTGGTATGAATTTGAGATTGAAAAAAAAAAAAAAAAAAAATCAAATTTACACCATGAGTTGACAAATAAGTAGATCCTGAAAAGATGATTTCGACCGCGACTCATTAACCGTGTCTTGTCTAAAGTGAAACAATCGCGACTTAGCTACACTTTACAAATGAATACGTGTTTTTATGTGACATGATATTTTATTATTATTCTTTGCTTATGGGTAAAGGGAAATTTATATGATTTAAATTATTACACACACTATAATGGAGATGTCTGGTGATTGATAATTGTGTAAATCTAAGTCAGTATAGTGCGTCGGCTTTTGCAGTTCCAAAATTGTTAAGGCTGCGGTCAGAGCATATTTAACGTCTGGCCGGATCAGCTACTAGGCTACAATGAGTATTGCTTTGGCAAATACTGTGTAAACACAGAAGCATAAATACAGTAACAAGTGAATGTATAACTACTTATAAATGGTGCAAAAGTGTGTCAAGCATAATCTCAAGCCCTTTGCCTTATTTTACACTGCCAATTTTATGGTGTGTTTCAGGAAGATTTCTTCTTCAGGTGGTCTGTTGTTTCTGACTGAGTGTCTACTAAATAAACTGTCTTTACCATTTCCACTGTGTGTGTGTTACATTTGTTGGTGTATCATTCTGAGCTTTGCACTGATCTCATGGTTATTACCTTATTGGTCAGACAGTTTAAGGTAACAGCCACTAAAAACGCTTGGTTTTTTTTACCTCCTTAATTACAAATCCCAAACTACGATTAGCAATTTAACGTTCGCATTAAAACCACGACGTCCGACATTTACTGCCCATCTTTAGTGCTTCATTTGAGAAACTACCAAATGCTGCTTCACATTTCATTTCACTCTATACGTTGACTTACAATGAGACATGAACTGTAGTGTGACAGAAATAATACTATGATTTATTTAGAAAAACAAAACAGCTCAAGGTTACCAAAAAGTGTGACATTTGATTTATTTAGAAAAACAAAACAGCTCAGGGTTACCAAAAAAGTATAAAGTAAAGATTGTAGGCTGTTGAGGTTGATGTTATTCCAGGAATATGACAACATACAGTGATTTAATTTTATTTAAATGTTTTTGCGTGTTATTTTCTCCTTTACTGTGTGACCGTTCTGTCAATCTGCTCAAACAACAAATTGGAGAAAGACGGCGGCGGCCACCTGTTCTATTGACACAATGGAAATAAATCACAGAACAAATTGGTTTGTTGAGACGTGAGACGCTTCGGCACGAGGACCAATTGTCTGCCCATCCGTCTCACAGATGTTGACATGCATTATTTCAGAGAAAGAAAAAAAAATCTGAAGAACATTTGACTGCACAGAAACCAGAACAGAAATGATCTTTGTAGAATAAAACAGCTGCAGAGAAAACAGGCCGAGCAGATGGCAATTCCACTGCGGTTTAATGAAGCGTCGACTTCCTGCTCAAATACGTTCTCGATTCATGAAAGCGTTTACATGCATTTAACAGAAGAGTCGAAGAGAAACTTCACGAGGAATTGTGTACAAACACAACGGGCTGGACACATCAACAATAATACTAAAACCAGGTTATATATGTAAATATAGTCAGATTTAGTTTATGGTAAAAATATATTTGAATCATATTCATCCAGAAGAAGTTGCAAACAACTTTGTTGCAACACAAAACAAGACAACACAAGAAATTTAGTCAAAGCTTTTCAGATAGATAGACTTTACTAAGCTAGATAGAACCGTGTAGTTTCAAACCAAAACCTGTGAATTTATCTTTTCAAGGGGTTGTGGACAATGGTTCTATCCACAAAAGGGGGCGCTGCAGACAAAGTTTGGGAACCAACGCTTTATGTAATGACAAATTAAGACAAATTGTTTCTATTTAGTTTGTGTGTGTGAGAGAGAGTGTGCGACAGACAGATGATTACTGCAGCACAAGTTGATCACTCTTTTGGAGTCAGAAATTTGACGAAACGCTCTGGGCTGATTTCCGCAGCAGCTCGTGTATAAGTCATGAGAGCACTTTGGGGGAAGTTTAAACTGTGGAGAAAACAAAAGCCATCCATTTACTTCATTAGTGTGCGTGGAAAATCTTGACATGCTTTGAAGAGAACGTGCTTGTGCAGCTAAAACAGCTCTAGGGCCCAGAGCAGACATGCAAGGGAGGCAACCAAACACCCCCCCCCCACCCCACCCCCCCAGTGATAAACAACCTTGCTTTGGTTTGGAGGTCTGTAAAAATGAGAATTTTGCTCCATTTTTCAAGTATTATTAGTATAAGTCCCTCCATTTATCCTCATGTTTGCCTTCAAGCTAGCATTAGCTCGGTGGATGACAGGTTTCTGCTGACTCTCTGATGACGGGCCTCTATCCAGCAAACATTTACAGAGGGAGAGAGAGAGAGAGAGAGAGAGAGAGGGTACAGTGACTCACACCACTCAGTCACACAAACTCTGTGGTGACAACAACAGAGGTTGAATTATAACACAAAGTCAGGAAAACCTACTGTTATCACAGCAGTTTTAGTCACAGCATTAGGAGGAGCACACGATACAGATGTAGAGGTTGTCAAATAACAACTCAAAAACAGCTGGTACAGTATGAATGTTGGTGTTTAGGCTCTTTACTCTGGAAAATAATCACTCAGTGACTCATGACCTGAGTCACAGTTTTCCATTTGGTAAGTTTAGATCTGGTAACGTCTTTGGTTTAGAATTAAACTGTCTCTGGTCTTCAGTTACATTCATCTTCCACAACTTCATACGACAACTTTCGAGGCACTTAAATTCAAGGTCACATTCATATCTATGGTCATTCTGGGTGGGAAAAGTTGAGTAACTCACGCAAAAATGGGAAGAGAACCCACACGGAAAGACCAGGGATCAAACCAGTGACGTGTTCTTGCTGTAAGGCAAGAGAAGCTAACCGTTAGTTAGAGGAGATTTTCCTTGAATCTGTTATGATTTGAAAGAAGAAAAAGAAAAAAATAATCAGATGTCAAAGATTCCAGAGGAACAGGGATTTGTGTTCAACATAAAGGTCAGAACCCTAGAGTTGTTCAACAAGTGGCCACCATGTGGCAGAAGTGGACTACTGCACAAACATAATCCATGTCAGGAACAGTAGATAAATCAATTAATCCTCAGACTCATGCAATCTTAAGTCAGGAACAGTAGATAAATCAATTAATTCTGAAAGTCTGAAAGTCTTTTAAATCAATGTTTCTTTTTCTCTGAGATCCAGAAAACATGTTGACAAACGTCAGATACTCATTTTCTCTGACTGTCATTCATGTCTGGGTAAATCTCGCGTTTTGTTCTGACAAAACATCACAACAAACAACAGACACAAAGCTCATTAAAATGATCTGCCGGGGCTTTGTTATTAATCAACCAAAACAAGGGGGACAGGTGGGAAATTATTTTACAAGGACTCTCCAATTAGGAGTGCTGTTGAGGGGGAACACCCCTCCCCAAATTCTCACTTGTTTAACCTGCCTGAACCGTGTTCTTTAAATAAAACTCTGTTTTCTGACAAAATGTTTGACAGCATCAATATTATCTGAAAAAAAACAACAACAAATAAATAAAAGATTATTTGTTTCGTTTCCCCTCACATGTGTGAAGATTTTCATGGAACATTTTGTCAGGTGTAGCTTTAGCGCCACCTGTGGAACTTGAAATGATGAATGTAATGTGAAGCTTTGACACAACAATCCAGCTTCGTGAATGGGGTTTATTAAACTGAACGACTGTATAACACAGCTCTCAACTGCTGTATCCCAGATATTGTAGTCACATACAGTATATTACCACATGAGGGCAGTACTACACCTAGAATACCACGAACCACCTCACAGCTTCTATGCTGTCTCACATAGTATTAGTAGCAACACTCAAAAGTCTTGAGAACAGTAGTAAATACTTTTATTCTCTCTCTCTCCGCCGTGTTTCTGGTTCGACACTTAAACAGCCATAAAACCTGGAGCACGTCACCAACCTCAGCTATAAACTGGCAGTGACATGAATTATGCAGCGTTCTTGATGAACTGAAATCAATAAACAAAGAATCCGTTTTAAAGTCAGTCACTCAGGCTGTTGCCGCTGCTGTTGTTACGAGTAGGACGGTTCTTTAACCTTGAAGCCGGTCTCACAGTTTGACATGAGCTGTAGAAAATAAATGAAACATTCAGGCCGTTTCTACACCTCCAATGACAGTGAGCTGTGGATTTATTTTTAATGATAAGAAACATTAAACTTTTAGAGTAACATCTGCCTGTTGATGCTAATGGACAGGATACAGAAATGATGGTCTTTCTATTTGACTTCATCAAATGGGCTCCAGCTCACGAACAAAATATGTGGTCTGTGTCCCATATTGTGGTACTGAGGATATTCTCTAGTTCAATGCAACATGAACCACTCTTTGTTTAAACATTACCATAGTCTCTGGACTATAAGTCACAGTTTTCTCATCTTTTGGCTGGGTTTGCGACTTATACTCAGGTGTGACATATATTGAAATATATAATTGCACGCGTTTGTTATTTTCACACTGACAGCCACAAAAAGGAACGCTAGGCTTATGTACTAGTATCTGCTACTCGTGTACCACTGAAAATGTATATGTTCGTTATTTTCACAATGACAGGCGCTAGAGAGCAGTGGTGCGACTTATACTCCAGAGCGACCTATAGTCCAGAAAATATGGTACACTACATGTTAAACAACAAAGAGTATAAAAAGAGTACCGTTAAACAACAAAGAGTATAAAAAGAGTCCAAAAAAAACAAACACTATTAAGATACAGCCATCCAGTAAGACTCTGCTCAAGACATTGATGTCAGACTTCAACCCTGTTGTCTACGTAGGCATATGGAGGCTTCCGATGTTTAAACAAACATGGCTAAGTCTTTTGGCAGGAAAATTACAAAAATAGCATGACATCACACTCCAAATTGTAGTGTAGTTATTACAGTAGTATTAGAGCCTGAGTCAGTGAGAGCCACAGAGTTACTCACAAGCACCAGCTGGC